TTAAAAATAGCATTTAAAGACTGGTTGCAAATTTATTTAATTATTTTATAAAAATTTGAATAGTCAAAAAATTCTAAAATCAGATATTTAATTAATCTTCTAAATAATTTTATCCTACTGGTCTTAGACTTTTATCTTGTTATATTTTGAAGTAGAAATTGACCAATTTATCAAGAAGTAATATTTAATATTTGATGTATTTTTTATTAATACAAATGAAAAATTACAATAAGCTTCTGTTAGCCTTTCTGAGTAATATGTTTTATTGGAATAGTATTAATTATTCTATTACTTAAACACTTGCTAATTTTTTTCATATATTTAATGATTGTTATGTAGAAATTTCTATAGCTCAATTTAATGTCAAGTCCAACCATCTAACATAGCAGATCAAATTATTTAAGAAGCACAAATAATTGATCTAATACATAATAATAATACTTTTGTGAAACTTTTTCTAATAATTATAATATTATTTATTCAGTAAGCCAACTAGAATATTTTGAAAAATGAACTACTATATTTTTACTAAATCTTTTTACAAATGGTTATAATAACATAGGTCAATTTGTTATAACAAACTCAAAATTTATAGGGTGTGATAACCTAGTGAAGTGGTCAGGTTGTCAATCTTCCAAGTGGTAGATTGGATGTTCAAATTCCATCAACAGCAAAAATTTGAATACTTACCTATGTAATATTCATATTATAACAACTGTTACTAATGATTGGATTAGAATATCTGTAATAGCAGTTGCATCAGCATAACTAGCAGGTCATAGAGCATCTGTATAAGTATAATATTATATATAGAGTGCAAACTGACAAATCAGTAGTGCAAACATTAGATAAGTTCTTGTGGTCATGTAAATCTATTAAAATTGGATAACAAAAAATCTATTTGAGAAGACCTAGATAGAAAGGTAGCTGGATCTTTGACAACCATACTGTAAAAGCTAACTCAGAAAAATAAATACCAAGGTTGTAATATCTGATCATAGTAGCCATATAGGCAAGAACCTCTAGGTTGGAAGTTTCGAGATACTACCAACCAAGTCATCAGAATGAATTAGAGAAAAAAGATATTGGGCTGACCTAATATATCAATAGACTGGTCATAGTCCTATACAGGCTATCTGGATTAGGAGTTTAGTAAAAAAGCAAGTAAAAAAGCAGAGGTATACTAAAGTACTGAGATTATGCTATAAAGTAGATACTGAGGTCTAAGTGAACTTTACAGAACATAGTGGTTTAATGGTTAAATCCTGACTACAAGTGATGATTCTGCCATAATGATATCTAGATTAGTTGTAAAAATAGATACAGAAGGCTTTAGGAGGTTTACCTCAAGGATAAATTAGTCCTAAGGTTGAGATGATAATCTGAGCATTTGAGTATAACCCAGTAAGTTAACACAGATTATAGATTCAGAAGGTTTAAAGTAAAACATTCAAGTAAGTGTGTTAGGTATGACAATTGGTAAGAAACCTTTAGGCAGACTTCTTAAATAGGTAATATAGAAAAGTTATACATGTAGCCAATTGTACACTGTTCTGTAGTGGTTCATTGAACCATAAATGATTAATAAAAGTCAAAAGACCAAAAAGGTCACCTTAACACCAAAAAAAAAAGCAAACTTGAAATTTAGATTTCTATTGCTCAGATATAGTATTGATTTTAAAACATTACTAATAGGTTAGAACACTACTCATCCTCCATGAAATGATAAATACTATGATTTGGAAGGCTGTACAAGGAAGATGAGATAGGATTTATACTTGTTTGTAATCATACTTATTATTTCAAATGTTTCTTGTTTAGGTTAGGTAACCAATGTAAGTATTGCAAGGATTATCTTATAAGTGAAATAGAGAAAAACAGTAAAACTTTTGATGAAAGTACAAGTTCAATTGGAACAGCAACAATAGTCATAGATGAAGATAATGCTGGCATTGTTGAAGTTGTTAACATAGTTTTAAATAGCAATATAGATCAGTTATATAGTAATGTCATAAATAATTTTAGAGCTGCATAGTTTTTAATTAAATTATCAATAAAATTTTATTTAAAAAAATTTTTTTCTATTGCTATTGTTGTCCATATACTGCATGTATATAGCTATATCGATATAGTAAATAAAAAAGCATTTCATGATTCTAAGTATTTTATACAGAAATAAATAATTACAGCTTTAATTAAAGTTGATAATTTTTAACAAAAAAAAAGTTTTAATTACAATTACGAAATAAAAGATTTAATAACAATTACAAAAAAAAAATTTAATTAACCCTACTAAATTTTGACCAGTATCCTTTACTATATGTGGCCATGCAGTATAAACTCCTTTTACCCTATATGATTAGTACCTCATTAGTACCTCAGCTATTTTTGTCGGTTTGTGTTATTTTCATGCAGAGGATCATCAAAACAATTTCCTCGCAATACCTTAGTAAGGAAATTTGCATTTGGCTTTTTTTAAACACATGTTACTATAGCTATAGCTTCTGCTAATAGCTTCTAGCTAATAAATAACTTTTAACTAACTAGTAATAACTTCTAACTAGTAACTTCTAACTAGCCTCTTCAGAACTAAAATCATTTCATATTTGCTCTGATATCAATAAAAAAAAAAGTATATCTGAACACTGATTTTGTGCATTTTGTTAACCAAATTTCTTGCATTTATCAATTTTCTCTTTTTTTGGTTCGGATTTTTTATTGGTCTGATTATTTGATAATCTTGATTGTATCGACAACTTCTCAACGAAATAATTTTTTTGGCTAAATAAATATTCATCCTCTATATCTATTTTACTTATTACTTATTATTATTTATTATTACTTATTTATTATTATTATTTTTTTATTTATTTATTTTATTTTGTTGTTGTTGGTGGATGATAATTATTGGTGATCATTTGTTTAATAATCAAAAAATAATAAAAAATATCCTGATCCGTTGGGATTAGTGAAAACTTCGTTTCCACTTATTCACATACAATCAGGGTATTATTAATTAATCCTCCTGTGATCTTGATATAGTGATCGGGGGATTATATTAATAATAAATATTTATTTATTTATTTATTTAATAAATAAATAAAAAAAAAGAGTACACCCGAATTGGTGAAATTACTTGCCATTTCTGATTATTGTACATCTAAAAACATGTACCAAAAAAAATACAGTACGTACATACTCATGCATTTCATATGATTTGCAATATACATATATATTATGTTGTATATATCAATGCTATTAAATTTTCAGGTAATAAATATATTGTATATATATACGCATGCATGTTAATCTTTAGCTTTCTTAGAATTAATAATTTTTCTGTTCTGAATGACGGAATTTTGTTCCCGCTAACGATAACAATAAGATCAAAAAAAAATAAGATCAAAAAACAATTTTTAGTAAAAAAACTACTGTTAAATTCACGCTATATATTATAAAAGTCTTAAATCTATGTGTATGCATTTTTGTTATTAAATCTCAGTAAAAATATGCATAAGTATGTTTGTGAATGTAATTTATAATCAAATACATGAATTATTAAAAAATAAGTTTGTAATTAATGCAAATAATTGCCTTGCTTAAAAAGTACAAAAATCATGTTCAAATTGAAATCAACCGCTTGAAAAGATATCTAAAGATATATATATATCTAATTATTATGTGTCAAAAAAAAAATTTAACACTCTGGTAGATATTATATATTGTTCTATCTATAGTAATGGATTACGCTTTTGTATTGATTTTCCCATCTCATGCTTGTCGTTGGTTTTTTGATAAAATAAACGCAACGATATTTCATGATTAGAAAATGTCATACAGTAATAACATATGAAGCAATGTCAATAAACTTTTACAATGATACCATTAGATGTTATTATTACAAAAAAAAATGAACAGGTAAACGCAAGTGCGTGTATATTAGAGTACAGGTTTTGATCTTGGTTAGCATATGAAAACATGATGCTTATTTTTTAAGCACAAATATTGAAGAAATCGTAATGATATAAATAAAAAAAAATTTGATTCTTGTAATAATCTGAAATATAACGATAGTAAAAAAAAAAAAAAAAAAAAGATTATTTCCATTAATTATTTACCTTTTGGCTTCATTTTTTTTTTTTTAAAAAAAAAAAAAAAATAAGTGCTTTTTAGCTTCTCCTTTCTCTTTTTTTTTTCCTTTAAAAAAAAAAAAAAAAATTAAGCTACCTTTTGACTTCACCCTTTTTTCTTTCTAAATAAAAAAAAAAAAAAAAAAATGCCCTCAACAATAACAACTGTGTGCTATATCACTGATCACAAGAATCTATTACAAACAAAACTCTTAATGTTGTTAAGGCTGCTGGGATGATGCGTCCTAAAAATAATGCCTCTGCACTAAATCTTCTTTTAATAGGCTTTTACTTGCAAGACAAAACCCAAAAATCCACCTTGGCGTCCTTCTCGACTGAAGACGTAATTTTGGTAACTGTAAATTTTGTATCATCAAAAATGCAGATGAAACCGAAAAAAAATATCCTGTAATGAAGGTAAACCCTAACCACGATTTTTATTACTACAAACAAATCAGTGTTTAAAATTTCAAACTCAAATGCTGTTCTCATAAGATTAATATAATAATTGAATTGTTCACATATATTAACAAATGAATATTTTAAAATAATGTCTAATTTATCAAATTAAATACAACTACTTCACATCAGAATTATTATTATAATGTGATTAGTTATATTTATCAATTTCAGGCTTAATGTGATAATGCTACTGTTCTTAAAAATTTTTAATAGTGAACAGTAAAAAATTTAGACAGTGTACAAATTTATAATAGTATTCTTATAAGAGCTCTGAGAACTCTAATTTCAAACATGGTCCACAATATATCAAACAAAATTTTCTTAATCATATTTTAGATTATATTATCTAAAGTCGTTCATCTTGTTATTGATCCAAGCAATTTGCCAATATTTTCTACCTTAATAAATATGACAGCCATCGCAATTGAACTTCCCCAAGTTGAATCTGATAACGTTATTTTAACTGTGGAAACAAAAGATTATATGGATCAGGATTATATCATACAAAAATTAGAATGTTACCACTTAAAATCTGCCCAACACCTTACCCCAACTTCCTTCTCTATCAAAATAGGATCTGTTCTCTTCATTAGTGGAGAATTCATGATAGTTGATGATAAGTATGTCATTCATCTCCATAGTGTAAACTTTATTAAATACCAAAAATCAGGTATTACTTTTCTTTTATTTTATTTATTATTTATTTTTTTGAATTTTAGTAATATACAGTTATCTCTCATTAATGTCGACTGTTTGATTCGCTTTTATATTCATATTGTTAGTAATATTAATAAGGAAACATATTAAAGTTGACATATTTGAGGAAATCTCTATATAATTTTAATATATAGAAATTCATTTTATAGTGTAGATTTATATTAACGGGTTAATATTAATGAGACATGAATATACATAGTTAATTCACATTGTAATCTTAACAAAATGTTATCACAATTTATTGTTAAAACATTAAGCCATACTTTCTTTTACATAATTATCCTTCTATTTTATAGTTTAACAGCTCTTTGTTAATCCTTTTTTTTTTTTTGCTAATCCTATTTTACCAAATCAGGTGTAAATTTAAAGACCCCAGCTAATCTTCCTTGGCTAATTGAATCTAAAGCTAATAAATCGAGCACTAAACCCACGTTTCTAAATGAAGCCCAACTGGTGAATTGAGTGCTAGAACCACGATCCTAAATGAGACTCCAACTAATGAACCAAACTTTGAAACTACAATCCAAAATGTACCTCTGACTAGTGAATCGAGTGCCAAAATTACAGCCCAACCTGAAACTCTAACTGATGAATCAGGTATCAAAACCACAACCCAAAAGATTGCCACACGAGTCAAAAGCAGTAGAAGAAAAACAATGACTACAAAACCTTATCTTAGAACAAAAGAATGTCCAAAAATTACTGATCTTGCAAAAGATGCATTAAGACAAAAGCAAAATAACGATACTCCTGATTCATTCACACCTTAAACATCTTTTGTTTCAAATAAATTTTTTTTTTTAAAAAAAATTGCTAGCATTACTTTTTTAATATTTTTTAAATTTGTTAACAATTCTACTATTATATAAATTACTAAATGCAAATAAATGTACATATATTCTTTATTCTATCAAATCCTATTTTACAGTTAAACCTTGAACATTTGTTTTTCATTACCATATTCACCTGTAATAACACCCCTCTGCACATTATTTTGAAGCACATATGTGCCTTGGTTTTTGTCAAAATATAAATTTTCAAACTCACAGGCTTATTAAATAGCCAAGTTATCAATGAGTTTTAAACTCAAAATCATATACATATATACATACATGCTTAATAAGATTCTATATGCATTGAAATTAACCGACACTAATGATGATAAATTACTTATTAAATGAACATAAGAAATCACTTGAAGTAAATCATTAAAAATTAAATAAAATAATTATAGGCATTATTTTGAATAATATAACTAATTTTTTCAAGAAGTCAAAATTCGAATTAATGCCTCAGCCTACTATTGCACACAAATATGGTAATTATTTACACAATGATTGTGTATATACCACATTAACTTACTTATGCCACCTATCTTGCTTTTTCAAAAGTTGTCACTAACTCTTTTATTCCTAAAAAATAAAAAACCTTTTAAATTTATATTTGGCATCCAAACTAACTATCTTATTTATTGATTTTAGATACTAAAATAAAATTTAAATAAGCCCGATTACCTTGATACCTATAATCTTTCCGCAATTCGTATATATCTTATTATCACCCGTACATTATGCCATTTCACACACATCAGATTTTTGAAATCCATTCTTTAGAATATGGTGAACAAATAGTTAATTTAATTGATACCAACAATATATCACCACCTATAGTAGAGGAAGCAAATTCTGTACACAATACTACTACATCTACTTCATTCAGAATTTATCTACCATAGATCATATCATCAAAAATGCATCAAGTAATCTACAAATTTGAAAATGAAATCTTATGCCAATTTTATGTGTCCCTTGCTCTGTTTGCTCAAAACTTATGAATCCAGAAAAATCACTATGGATCTTCAAAGAATCTAATACTACTTATTCACTTACTACCGCGTATCCAGATATTATGTTGGTTACTAATCCCAATCCACCACCAAATAGAATCGCAATATGTTCTTTATGTAAATCAAACCCAAGTAGAAATTATCCTCCATATCTTTCTCAAGTTCCATTAGAAATAGAACTAGTACCCTTAGAAAAACGCAGATACTTGTCCTCTGTCTTTCTACATTGTTCACTTGGTCGTACCCCTAGAGCAAACCCCTTCACAGAATACAGATCATTAGTTGGTACTATGAACTATTCTCAGAATCTTCATTCTTTAAGTCTATATTCCAGTATATTAGGTGCTTTCCTGAAAACCTCTACTATCGTTTCAACTTTGCCTTGGCTTAATAACTCCTTAATAAATGCAGTCACCTGGCTTAAAGAACATAACCTCTATTTATATGAATACACTAATTTGCTTCAAACCAATTCGTCTACCCAACCACCTTTACCAACAGCAACTCATTTATCTGGTGATGATAATATACCTCCCATACAACCAGGTGAAATTATAGTTCCACATCAAAATTTTCTTGCTGAAATTCATAATGAAGATACCCATTATCATCACCTTATGGCTGGATTTTTAACAAATAATGACTCTAATAGAATTCCAATTTCCTTAAATGATCCTAACCTCGAGCCATTACTTTTTTCTGATTTATACCCTGATGGTCATAGCTACTATTATGAAACACGTTATCAATCAAGACATACACCACATCGTCACAAAACTTTTGGAAAATATATCAAACATTGTTTACTTTCGTTAGATCCTCGATTCCGTTTACATCATTATTGGCCAGCCTGGGCATACCTCCAACTAGAAAAACTCAGAAACTTTCAGAATACATAACGATTAGTTCGTCAATCAAATGCTGACTCAACACATCGTTTACCAACTGCAATTGAAATTATTGAACGAAGCACCTACTCTGATGGTTGGTGCTATAACGAAACTAATACCACACCTATTCCCACATTCATCCATACAGGAGATACCTATTTCTAACAAAAAACTCTACACTTAAATACAATGATACGTAAATTTGGACTTCCGACTGTATTTATTACCCTATCAATGGCAGAAAGTTTATGGCATCATCTTTATAATATTCTCATTAACACTGACAATCATGATCCATTACCTACAAACAGACCATTGCACACAACCCTACATTTTATTCATAGGTTACAAAACCTTAAAAAATTCATTTGAAAAGATCCTGAAATTAGTGAATAGGGAACATACAAACATTTATTTGATAGGATTGAATTCCAAAATCGTGGTGCAGCCCACCTTCATGGTGTTTACTGAACTACTTCCAGTATAAATCAAATGATTGATTTAAACACAATTAAATCAACTCTTCCAAATCCCAACTCAGAACCTGAACTCTACCAAAAAGTTCGCTCATTACAAATACATACCTGCAACTCCAAATGTGGTGGCCCAGCGCCAACCGGTTCTAGATGCAGAAAAGGATTTCCTCGTCCCTTAGCTGAATATACCTATTATGATCCAACTAACTATAGATATACGTATCAGTATTTAACACCCGAAGACTAATGGGTAGTCTCATATCATGCCCCAACTCTGATGGTATGAAATGCCCATATGAACGCCCAATATATCACTAATAAAGGACTTGCTTGGTATATAACCAAATATATAAGCAAATCTGAACCAACTCACCTATTCAACATACAAGAACAATTATGTTATCGAGAATATATCCATGCTCGCCGAATGGGATCAATGGAATTAATGTTCCTATTACTTGGCGAACGTATTACAAATTCTTTAACCCAAGTTCAATTCCTAACAACTGATCCTCCATCCACTCAGTCAAAAGCCATACTACCATTATACATGATTGACCCTAATGATGACAATCCTTATTGGTCTGACAAAGTAGAAAAATACTTCGCTTGTTCAAGTGATCCCATATTCGATATGATAACGTACAAAACTTATTTTGAAACTTATGAAATTAAATCTACCAGACCATCTAACTCTCAAAAAACAATATATCACGATACCTTAGGAAACTTCATCGTCAAGCGCAACAACAAGATACTAGTCCGCTATCGATTTTTAAGACCAGAAAATGGCGAACCATATTTCTACCAACAACTTCTACTAAAATATCCTTGCAGATCTGAACAAGAAATGCTTGGATCCTACCAAACATACCGAGATCACTTTCTCTCCTGATTTCCTGACATATACCAATCTATAATTGCTCAAAATTCAGAATTTATCTCAAACCACTCAACTTATGTCCTAAACCAATACAATACAATAATTGAGACAATCGTCTCTTCGTTACAACCTATCCTAACCAGTAACATAGTTGACATTATAAAAATACAATTAGACTCGCTCAAAATACTACCCCGTATAATACCTGCAAATGTAATAGTCAATCTAACTTCAAGTCAATACCATTGCTACCAAACAATAACAAATTATCTAGGTAAACAAGATGCCTCACATTACCCTTACTTCTTCATTACTGGCTCAGCCCGCAACGGCAAATCGTTTATGATTCATATATTGCTAGAATACTTCCAAAGAATTGGTCAAAACTATCTACTAATGGCCTCCACTGGAATTGCTGCCTTAAACATAGGCAGAACTACAATCCACTCTGCATTACGAATAATATCAGATGAAAGAGGATTTCACTCCCTTATATTTTGTGACACAAACTTCTGTAATTCCCTTCTTCAAATTGATACTCTCATAATTGATGAAGTTTCAATGATATCAGGTCCGTTACTAACATACATCTCTGAACTCTTCGAACGCCTACACAAAAATAACTACCCATTTGGAGGAATCAGTGTTATCTTAGTTGGTGATCTTGCCCAATTACCTCCCGTCAACGCACCTCCTGTGTATCAATCACCAATATGGAAAATTTTCTATCCATTATTTCTTCATGATCCTCAAAGACAAAATGATGATACTCACTTCTACACTCTTTTACAAAAAATTAGATATGGTATCATAGACGAACAAGTTTGGAATGTATTATCACAAAAATTACTAGAAACTATCCAATCACCCCAACTAGATACAAATCTCAATACCACTCACATAGTAGGTTATCACGAAACTGCCGAATTAATCAATAGAACAATTTGCACCTCAATCCCCATCCACGAAGATAAGGTCCTAATTTCTGACTGTGTCGATATTATAGACAATCAAATATATCCTACCAATTCAAGACATCGTGAATTCGCAAATAAAACAAATCTTCCTAGTACTATTAGAATTCAACCCGGAGCAAGAGTCATGTTTTTGAACAATTCCCAATACAGACACCGCATAGCCAATGGTACCGTAGGCATTGTAACAGATCTCAATTTACAAATTGGCCTGGTGTATGTCAGTTTCTGTGTTGAAGGAGCAATCATTAATACTTCGTTCACTAAATATACCCACAACTTTTACCTTAATGGCTTACCTGCCAGTCGCACACAATACCCCATACAAAATGCATTCGCTCTTACGGTACACAAAACACAAGGATTAACAATTCCTGATGTATCTCTAAACTTAGATAATCAAATCTTCGAGTATGGACAAGCCTACGTAGCATTAAGCCGCTGCACGAAATGGGAACATGTAAAAATCCAATCACTTGATCGTGATGCATTTATTGTTGATCGATCCATGACCGATGAATATGAACGACTAGAATCCAAAGCACATGAACCATTACCACTAAATAGATAAAAAAATGCATTCGCTTCACTAATACTTGCCTACATCTATCAAAATAATTTAACTAATTTTTTCACAATCACATCAAAAAATTTCTATGTACTATAAATAAATATATGTAATCTATTTGATATAAACGACTTCTTAAGAACCCATTACTGATATTAAAAATTTATAAAATAACCGTAATCATAATCGACCTTTAAAAAAATTAACCCTGTACTTACTTCATCTTATTATATAACATAAGATTTTAATTCATTAACTCTTCTATCTCTAATATTTAAAATTTTATCCACAATATTAAAAATTTTAAGTTAATATATACCCGACTAACCAATTATAGTATCTTGATTTATTTCGATGTACCTCATAGGAAGACTTTCGTATGATCACCTAAATCAATTTAATCTTACATTATTTATACAGTTTAAAGTACCTTTTAAAAAAAATAAAACTACGAAGAATAAACCAAAAAGAAGTATATAGGAAGTATTATCAAGGTTGTAAAACTCCACTATTAAAAATAATCAAAATCACTTTTTGTTTTAGAGAAATTACATAATAGCATTTCTTAAAAATAGATAGAATTGGATTATTACCATGCTAACCTCTCTAAAGCAAAAAGTGACTTTGATTATTCTTAATAGTGGAGTCCAACAACCCTGATAATACTTCCTATATACTTCTTTTTGATTTATTCTTCGTAGTTTTATTTTTTTTTTAAAAAAAAAGTACTTAAAACTGTATAAATAATGTAAAATTAAATTAATTTAACCAGCCAACCATACGAAACTCTTCCTATAACGATGTACCAGTATTGATCTTTTTACCGTCATACAAAACAACCAAGTATATACAAGTGTTGTAATTTATACATAACTCGACGTATTTACCATCGTTCAAAAATAGTATATCACATGTCAAACTGAATTTCAAGACGTAAAATTTTATTATAAGTCACCAACTCACCAAAAAAAAATTCCTTACAAAATCTTAATACATTTAAGCCTTTATTCACATCTTCATAACAAAATTTGCTACTTAGATATTTCACTTAATTAATCTTTTTAATTTTCACGATTTACATCACAAAATTTTCTGTAATTAACTGCTCTAACACCCCAATCAATCTAGCACAACTCAATACAGCTCATAATAATTTTTTATCATTAAATAAATTCACAATATCATAACACCCATCAACACTAAACTTCGGCGGCGAAGCCGCCACATAATCAAGTTCTAGTTACATTTAATAAATAACAATAACGACTCTGATTGGATAAATTCCAATGTCACGGCATAAAATGATCTACAAAAATTAGCCTATCACAATGAAAGCCCGCTATGCTGGTTACGGTTATGACCGGGCATTGACCGGTCATAACCGTAACCGATCCACCCCTAGCGGGCAGAAATCAGAGATGATTTCATGTCTTAATCAATTTGATTGGCTAATTATTAATTAAGGGTGTACTTATATGTCTTAAACGTAGTCTCTCAGCAAATAGAACTCACCTGATTTCTCCCATTCCCACGTCTTGCATCGAGCTTAATAAGAACTGATTATACATGTGAATAAGTTTCTTATATTTAGTTGCATGTATATTAAAATATAAACAGTCAACACTTGCAAGTTATAGTGTAAATTAGGTACTTTGCAATAATCGACCTGAAAAGAGATACAAAGTTCGTTGTGGAGATACGTATAAACTTGGCAGTTTATATGCAACGACATAGTGCAGCTACCTTATTGAAAATACAAAGGCGTAAAAATTCTATTTTAACACTGTTATAGCAACTTTTGCTTTTGATATAATTACAACCTTGTTATTGTCACACTGTTCTTTAACCTTAGCAGTTATAAATTATATATATATAGATATAAAATTGTTACCTAAAGAACGCCACCGGCGTTCCGAAAAATTCCTGCTTCATATAGTCACAACCTTCTATAATCACTAAATTTTTTACTTCACAATGGTAACACTATATTAAAGCTTTATTATTATTGATAATATTTGTATGACTGACTGTATCGATAACATTCATTTACACATGATATAAATATTTTGTGAAGCTTTCGTAACGTATAAGGCTTTATAATCGTACGATAATGAATGGCCTGAGTAAACAAACGCGAATTAAAGATTCTATTATTATACATAATAAATGTATTATTAACACAATGACATTGAGTGTAGAAGCATCTTTTTCTAGAAAGTTATAAAAGAGTTGGCTTGCAAAGTCAAAGAACTTCGGGTTAAAATCTTTTCACAAAGACCCTAAACTTTTTATATACCAGTTTTGCTAAATTACTAAGTCACGTCTTTGTAAAACTTCATTGATTATCTCCGTTATTGTGTATTACGATTCGCTCCGTCATATAATTATGGCTGATCCGGTCTATAGTTTTGAAAAAGTTGAAGATTTCTTCTCAAATTACGAGTCTTGGACGAAGCTTGGTAATGTTCTTAGTCACGATTACAATCCCGGTATTCGTACGCTTACCCTAATTATCGAAGGTGGATACCCTCAAGGTCAATCATGTTGTCTCCTGATTCAGTTGCTTGGGTATAATGTTTTTCGCGTACGCTTTGACCCAAGTAAGAGAAACGCTGATGAATATATTACAAACAACACTCGTGCAGTAGTTATGGACACATGGGCAGATCTTCAGGATGAATGGGGCCAATTCACCACAAATTTTAATAATGATCCAAATAAAATCAGCATTGATACAATACATACGGATGGTAATACACAATTCATGAAGATTGAAGTAGGTCTTAATCCTTTCTCTATTCGAGTTGATCGTTTTGAAGGTGGGAATCCATACCCAATTTGGACAACTAACGGTGAAATAGGATTGCGTTGGAGTGAAGTTAAAGATGGTGATGTTATAACTACTTTCAAAATAATTCAAGTCGTAGATAAATCTCCAACCGCAAAGTACGCTGGATTTGGTGAACATGGAGGAGTTGGTTTATTTAAAAATTCACAACAACTCACCTTCTTCAATTATGATAATTTTGGATATGGTCAAGTAATAAATCATGATATTCATTTACACATTTATTATGTATGTATAATATTATTTATTCTCACAATATATTTCTTTAAATCATTTTAATCAGATTTATGGTCAAGGACCTCTGGATCAACGTGAACCTCTTTACCACTCTGACCCTTTTTTTATGGAATTCAATGGGGTTCCTGGAAAAACATCGGTTACTGGCATGTATATTGATAATTACTCACTTATTTGTATGGATATTGGTCATGAAAAGTCAGATAGAAATATGTTTGGTATTAAATTTGGCGAACTCGATTATTATGTATTTGCTGGAAATGAATGCAAAGATATTATAAGTAGTTTCACAAGTTTGGTTGGACGTTGTAGACTTAAACCTCGTTATGTTCTTGGTTTCCATCAAGGATGTTATGGCTGGACGAAGAGACAAGATTTAGAGGATACACTCCAAAAATACAGAGAGAATAATATTCCAATTGATGGTCTTCATATTGACATTGACTCTCAAAATAATTATGAGGTTTTTACCTTAAATCCTGTAACTTTTCCTAACGCCAGAGAAATGTTTAATAATTTACGAAGTAATGGCGCAAAATGTTGTGTTAATGTTACTCCCATTATTAAAAAAGGTGATAATAATTATACACCATATAAAGAGGCTACGGAGAATGACTACTTGATCTTAGATACGCGTGTTAAAAGTTTATCAGGTAATTTACTCCAGCAATACTATGAAGGAGGTAATGAAGTGATAGGAAAAATGACCATCGATGACAATCTCAGTGGCACTCCCACTCCATTTACTGGCAGGGTGGACTATGGTTATGGTAATACTGTCTCGGGTCACTATCCAGACCTTGGTCGGAAGGAAGTCAGAAATTGGTGGGGTAAACAGTATGAAACACTTTTTTCATTGGGTTTAGAATTTGTATGGCAAGACATGACAACTCCAGCTATTGATAAAACTCGAGGTGATATGAAAGTAAGTCATGATAAAATTTTCATGAATAGAAAAGTGTTATATATTAAAAATAAACTTATTAACCATACCATTAACCATACAATTAAACATACCATTAACCATACCATTAAACATACCATTAACCATAACATTAACCATACCATTATTAGGGATTTCCTTTCAAACTTCTTGTTACAGACGATTCTTTATCTGCTAAATCACCTTCATTAAGCCCTGCTCTCAAAGTGTGGAACCTTTTTTCTTATAATCTACATAAAGCATCATATCATGGTCTAAATTCTCTTCCCGGTCGAGAAGGAAAACGCAATTTTATTATAGGCCGTGGTAGCTTTACTGGTTCTCATCGGTTTTGTGGTTTGTGGACTGGAGATAATTCATCAACATGGGACTTTTACCGAATCAATATTGCGCAGGTAGTTTTAAATTCTTTAATCTTTTAAAGATAGAATTTACTGCAAGATAACAAACACAATTATTTTATATCTTAGGTATTAGCTGTTGGACTTTCAGGACTTTCAATAGTAGGAGCAGATATTGGAGGGTTTGGTAAAGGTGTTGATAATGGACAATGGGCTAGTCCTGAGCTAATTGTTCGTTGGACAACAGCTGGATCATTCCTACCATGGTTTAGAAATCATTATGTAAAGAATATTGATGTGACAATCGATGGTCAAAGGAAAGTCCATGATGGAAAATCTTTTCAGGAACTTTATGTTTTCAAGGATTACCAATATGCATTTGGAGTCACAGACTATCAACGGGTATTCTACCGTGCGGTTCTTCCTGTAACTAGACATTACATAGAATTGCGATATAGGTTAATGCAACTTTGGTATGATTTAATGTGGGTGAATGTGCTTGAAAGTATGCCAATGTGTCGAGCATTGTTTATTAATGATCCACATGATGATACACTTTATAACGATAAGATTGAATTTAACAGTAATCAGTTCTTTGTTGGCAAAGATCTCCTTGTAGCACCTATAATGGACCCTGGTGCTACTAAACGAGATATTTATTTGCCAACCACAGATAATTGGTATAGCTTTGTGGACAGTAAATTCCCACTAGCAAGTGCAGTTGAAGGTGGCACAACAGTTCGAGATTTTGATGCACACATTGATGGTGATGACTATAATCATTTGGGATTCATTGTTCCAATATACATTCGTGCTGGAGCTATAATCCCAGAAATTCCTCTTGAGCAATGGGTGGGACAACTTCACGAGCATGGTAAACCTTGCAATATCACCCTCAATATCTATCCAGGAAAAAAGGGACTTTATACTATGTATTTGGATGATGGGGTTAGTCTTTCTTCTGCACCACCTGATGCGCCTCAATACAAGTACCTTGATCAAGAAGAAAAAAAGTATGCAAAAGGGGAATACCGAGAAGTAAAGATTGAACATATTCAATCCGGAACTAACCGTGATATCACAATCACGCGATCTAGGGATAATTACACGCCTCCTTTAGAAACATTCTACCGGGTGGCTATATTACATGATCCGTCAGAACCTTTTCAAGGTTCAAATGGACCTTTAATGTCCATCATTGTTAATGGTCATGTGTTAAACGATCCTAACAAAGATATGGTTTTAAGTAACGACAATAGCAATCCTATTAATTGTTGGTATTATGAACCATCAATTAAAATTACTTATATTAAAGTTGTCGATACAAATACAATTACTATTAATCTAGAGTATCATGGTACATAATATATACCTTTCATTTTTTTTTAATAGTATTAAGGTAATGCAGATATCAACATATACCTTTCATATGTAGATGAGGGTCGAAATTCAAAAAAGAAATCATGTGTTATTGTTTAATTTTCACCAGCAGGAATTTATTATGTTAAAAAATCAGAATTTAAAATATTCATGGTTCCCAATTTTTACTATAAAAGTTTTGTTCAAAATAAATTCAAAAAAATATATTTAAATCTCCATAAACATTCGTGTTAGTATCTTTTATTATACGTGAGCTATCAGTTTATGAATTTTATCACTGCAGAGATGTAAAGGTTTTTGGTTACATTTCGAAAAGTTAAAAAATAAAGTCAAAAGAAACAGAAATTTTTTTAATAAATGTCATCACTGAAGCTGAAACTAGAAATTTTAAATTATATTAAATTGCTAAATAAATCAGTAATTATGACGGTAGCACTATGAACTCATAAATGAAAATTCTTAGTATACCGGATTTACTTATTTGTGCCGGTAATACAATCCAAAAAAGGAAATTTGATTTTATAAATAAACAAAGTGCGTAAAA